TTACTGTGGGTAACTGAGCACTGACCACTTCCTAGCGGCCATAGAATGAGCCATGTATTCACCTTCTCATGAACTGCTAAGGTAATTTCATAGTCGTTATGAGAATTTGTCGCAGTTTTATTCCCTTGAATCCTTTGCAAATGATTTGGCGCGAAATTTAAACTCGGAATTTTCAAGCTCGATCCTATCGCTCCAATCCATCGCAATTTGAATTATCTGGCCTAATCAAGCCCATTAATGGCTCCGAGGGGAATAAATAATTGCTATGCGATCTGTCTCTTTCTGATTGTCCGTTATTTTTCCAAACACTTCAAAAAAGACCTGGCCTGATCAAATCTCAGACATCGATCTGTTTTCTATGGGCTGACTGCTCCCATAGGGACAACTTTCTGTCCGCTAATTGCTCTTCTCTTGTCTGTTGGCGCCATACATCTTAAATGGCCGCAGTCAGTGGTGGTCTATCCCTTACGCAAGCCAAAAAAAGGTCTACCGTAGTCCATCATCATAGTGTTGAGGGTGTGAGGGCATTTAACGTCAATATTTGCTCAAAAATCTCGACAAAAGCCATCGTGTCCATCTGATGATTCCATGTTGAGCTTTTACAATTTTTTTTGGCCATCAAAATAAACGGTCTCTGCAAAATTGCTGAAATGAGCTGCTCTTTCACTCTTTCTCTTCACTATGCCATATCTCATCGTTTTGCATGAATGAATAACCCCCACAAACACGTTGGCGTTCAACTGAGCCGCAAGAATCTAGACGTACAAAGATAAATGGCCCTTTTATGCGCATCGCTACGGAGGTCCAGGCCTTAGATAGCCCGTTGGCGGCCGGCTGACTGGCGAGGGTTCAGAGTGCACGAGTCAAGTGACTCACCACCACCATCTTCAGAAAAGGTCATTTTTTTAAGGTTCACTGGACAGACCACCCATTCATAGATCTCCCTTGGCTACACGATACCCAATTGGACTTCTGGGCCTATTTTAGGCCTATATGTATCCATCCCATTCGATTGAAACGGGAAAATCTCTGCAGCTGTCAGCTCTGACTGTCACTGTACTGATTGTTTCCCCTTCACGCCTTATGTCAATATACATATGATTTCGTGAACAGTAACCAGAAAAACCAATCGATAATTAAATTACTGCCACCTACCTTTACACGGCGAAATTCTTACTTATGACCGATGTGTTAAAATGATTTTTGTTGTCATCTCTCACTTTTCCCGTTGCTATTGACTTTGGCTTTGTTTGAGTTGGCGTGACTTCTTCCTTTCTTCTTACCACTCGTCTATAAGTTGCTAACCATGAAATCGTCCATCGTCTTTCATCTCAGGAAACCCCGCCCCCCTCATGAAAACATTAACAGCTTCTTCTCTTCTCAAGTACAAAACGAAACAAAATGAACTTTTGAGAACATCGCGTGAGCATCATTCTGTTGCCCTTGTTTCCCACTGTAAACTTTGGAATTCAATGCATATTTGAGTTTTTCGCCTGGTCTATCCATCAACTGCAAACTTTATGGGAAAAAAGCTTTTTCATTTTGTATTCAAAAGAACCCACAAGTAGTTCGAGCTGCTCCAGCTCCGCTGCAAACTTTGCAGCTACTCCTTTTTTGAGAATTTTTGCCGTTTTTGTAAGCAGCTGCCTACACAGACCGATTTTTTTTTGTGTTTGGGAGCTTTTTACTGTGATATCTTTGAGATCGATGGGAAAAAAACGTCTGTAGTGGTTGCGGAACTCCTTTGGCCCGGCCCACTAAACACTTCAAGCGTGCTCTCATCCGCATTCGCACGCCGCTTTCTTAGAGTCCAAGAAATCCCGAATCTACTCCATAGGGTCTCAAACTTGTCCCCAGGCCCACCCATTCGCTCTTGTATCCCAGGCACGAGGGATGGCCGTTTTTTCAGAGGGAAATTTACGATTTTTTCAGTGCTTTGAGTGTTATGTGTGCAAACAGGTGACGCATCATGATGAGACAGACAGACTACTCCTCGACCTCTCGTTCTTACTGGCTTCTTATCTGAGTACCGTGTCCTTTCTTCTTCATGATCAAATCTCTATGCCGTTCTTCGTTGGTGGTCCGTTTGTCAGGTTTTCCAAAGTTTATAAATAAAGTTTTCAGATGGCTACAACAGAGCCTATCGCCAAAAACACCTCACCATTCCTTTCTATTTTTCATCGGAAAAAGCGGGTTAATGGTGCAAAATCAAGTGACGACATCAAAGCGGCCGCTGGACCACCCAGGGAGCAGGTAACTGAAGTTTTATGTGCTTTGTTAGGCCGTTTGAAAAGTGTCATGGCCCCTTCAAACGACTTCGGCAGGGGTGTATAATCAAAATAATAAAACTTTTCAACACTTCCCGAGGAGTACAGAACAATTCAAGGGTGTGTCACTGAAACCGGAATCAATGGAGAGGTTTTTAGCAATCGAAAGAGACATTTAGGGCGGTTGATATTTAGTGATTAATCATGTAATGGTTACAGTTTTTCTGATTTTACAGCACATATATAAAATGTGTTGGCGTGTTTAGCAGTTATCATTTCGAATTATCATTGAAATTTATCATTTCTACTTATCATCATTGTACGGTGTATGTTTGTATCGTTGCATTTTATGTCCGATTGTCCGAGTAGTACGACTTCACGACAACGACCATGGCCATGAGGCCCATCCGCAAGTCATAACCAATCCATTCGGGGACTACTACATGAGTTGCCCGACGAAGAACACATTCATAGTTAAATAGCATCGTATCGATAGCGTGTAGTGCCGAAGTGCCGAAGCCCGATGAGCATGACAACGGAAGTGCCATTGGACGGCCTCATTTCGGAGCTGGACGTATCCGAAAATTGAACTGGGAATATCTTTTGAACAAAGCCAACTCCATATACAAAATGTCCTGGGGTCTTTAGTAATTATCATCTCTAATTATCACAGGAATTTATCATTTCTACATATTATCGTTGTACGGGTCGGCATTACTGAGTAATCTAATACCCAGCAATTCCTCTAGTATTCGGAACTTCCGATTTCCGGTAAACTACGAACCACCGGCAATAGAAGCCTCGATTG